CCACAAGCTACTGAGAATGAGTAGAGCTAGTCCGTGGTATAGTTTCAGTAAGAATGAAGGATGGGTGACCGCCTTTTTCTTTACTTTTATCTTTCTTTTTGTTTTTTTGTTTTGTTTTGTTTTTTTCTTCTTCTTTTTATTTTTGGTTTTAAACCTTTCTTTGAGATTTGGGCTTTTGTAAAGAAAGCTTCCTATTCGACATCACCAGTTTATATTTTACTTCGCTGCACATGGAACTTGAAGTCAATCATGATCCCTTTACATCTACCTAAAAGTCTTTATTTTATTGATATTAAAGGAAACTGATAAACTTTATATGATCCATTAAAATGGAAGTTAAATTGTGTAATTTCTTTTTTTGGCCAAAAGTGTGTAGTTATTCTGTTTCTTTGGCATGAACACTATTCTAGTTTTATCATATGACATTGTTAAAATTACTGGACGTTTAATGACAATGTTTTTAGTTTCTTTATCCGTTTTAGCTTACATTGTTAAAATATCAGCTCCATCGTCAGCCTTTAAGAGTTCTTTTCGTTTTTTTCCCCCATTGTGCATTTGATCTTTTTTTCCCCTCACAAAGCAAGCTATTACTCTGCGGATAATTTGATCAGGATTGAGACTATAAAACGATAATTAATCTTACTCATACATATTTAGTACGTTGGGTATACTTATTGGGCAGGGATGTATTGTTGGAATGGTACTCTTGTTCATCACCAAGGGGAAGAGTTCTCGCGTCGTTACATTTGATGAAGAACTATTCTTCATATATCTCCTGCCACCCATAATATTCAATGCTGGGTACGAACTTATGTCTTTTGCAGGATCATGAGTCTTGAAGCAGCTCTGGCAACAAAAACTTTCACTGTTCTGAGTCACATCTTCTTGATGACAGATTTCAGGTCAAGGAAACAGTTCTTCCACAACTTCTTAACTATCATGCTATTTGGGGTGATCGGTGTTTTTATATTGGCATCTATTGTTGTATCTGGTAGATCATAATCTCTGATATTTTCCTTTTGAAGTTTACATAGATTTAATGTGAAGTCTTATTGGTCAAAGAAAGAAAAACCTCAAATCTTTGCATTTGGTCCTTTACCTAGGTAGTTGGCGGCTATTCCCCAAGTTAAACTTTATTGGTCTGACTGTGCAAGATTATCTTGGTGAGATTTCTTGTATCTTTTGGATGTTGCGTGGAAATGTAGATCTTTATCTAATTTCGTCAATGTGTATCAGATTCGCATGATGATTAGCTTTTTTTTAATTCAGCTATAGGAACAATTTTCTCTTCAACAGATACTGTTTGTACCTTGCAGGCAGGTTAGATTGCGATAATTCTCTTTTGTTTAACATATTTACATGCTTGTTTATTTATCAAACTTTATCTGCTGCAGGTTCTCAATCAAGATGAAACTCCTTCATTATGCAGCCTAGTCTTTGGGGGAGGAGTGGCAAATGATGCAACGTCAGTTGTTCTCTTCAATGCAGTGCAGAAGCTAGATGCTTCAAAAGTTAATGGTAGGGCACTCCATGTCATTGGAGATTTCTTGTATCTGTTCTCCACAAGCACTGCCCTTGGATTCATTGTAAGTTTCAGCCTTGAAAATGCCTTCATGACTTTCTGTTGAACACTCTGTTAGTTGATGGTACTGCTGTCACATGCTACTAGCTAGCACCATCGTGTCAGGGAGTATCATTAATGGCTAAAGTTTTATAATTTTCTTTATTCTTCATGTTTCTAAATTAGTTTAACCCTGTGAATATCACCTCATGTCAATAATTTTACTCAGCATCTTCTCCTTACAATATAAATTTTATGGAACTGTTTCGCTCACATGGAACAATATCAATTTTGGAAGTTATATTATTGAACGGATGTCTGTTACTTTCAGTGAACTGCTAAACATTGTATCTTATATGTCAGACTCGCTGGGTTCTTTCTTCTTATTGTTCTTCTTCTGTCATTTCATATAGTAAACAAATGCATGTTCATGCAGGCTGGACTTCTCACTGCATAAATCCTGAAAGCCTTCTGCTTTGAAGGTAAATAACTTTCTTTTAAAACTCTCCTGAATGTGATAATCATCAACATGGTCTGAATTGGCAATACCAAACTTCAAAAATAGCTTTTCTGATTCTGAATCTAAATATGCTTGCAGAGATTCAAGTGTTCGTGAAATTGCATTGATGATTTTAATGGCATACCTATCCTACATGTTAGCAGAGGTGCATTGGAGTTCATGCATATGTCTGCTATAGAACTATTCTGGTTTTGGATTCAGTTAACCCTAGGAGCTCAACTTATGGTTAGCATTTATGGCCAAACCAAATTTGAACTTCTGAAAGACAACACGTTAGTTGTTCAATTGGATGGGGCAAAATGATACCATTTGTAATTGGTAATTTTGGGGCTTTATATAATAAGGTTTTGCTCAAAACTGTTTTTGTTAGCATATACGAACAGTCTATATGTCTATTGAATAAATTATTCTTAAACAATCCATATTCACTGCATTTTGTTTTTTTTGGCAGCTTCTAGGACTTAGCAGAATCCTCACTGTTTTCTTTTGCGGAATACTAATGTCTCACTATGCATGGCATAATGTGACTGAAACTTCAGGAGTCACAACCAGGTATAGATTAATTTGTCTTTTATGATTTGATGATTTCTACACTCAAGGTTTTGGATATTTTACCTGTTCAATCTTCTCTAGGCATGTCTTTGCGACAATGTCATTTATTGCAGAAACCTTTATATTTTTTTATGTGGGCATGGATGCTCTGGACATGGAGAAGTGGAGGGTTACCAAATTAAGGTCCTATTCCTATCCTCATTTCTACATAAATTTATCTTATCAAGTTTACCAAAGGTAACAAACCATCTTCTGTAGTTACATTATGAGTGGTCATTGACTGAGGAAGAAAAGCATCAATTCAGGTTGCATAAATAATACTCATGCTGAAGTTTCTATCAACTACGTATTTTTCCTTTTTGTTCTTAAAAAAACAAAACACTTCATGTGGGCCAAGGATGACACTTATATTCTGTGGTGAAGCATGATGTACTGATCATGATGAGTAATAATCAGTGATAATAAGGTCTACATAAGCTTTTACCTTTTCCGTAGATTGAAATTGTATTTGAAATGGCACATAAAGGTCCAAAAAGTTATTGTTTATTCTTTTCAACCTCTTTGTTATTGCAGAATATGTCCTTTGCTTGCGGAGTATGTCCTTTGCTGCTCACAATATCTGCGGCTGAAACTTGAACAAAATAAACTTGAATTTTGTAGTTCTGGAATCTTTTTTAAATGCCTTGTGAGATACATTGCAGCATATCACCTTGACAATGAGGACTCTTTCAAGTTATTTCTTCATTGCAGTTTTGGGAGTTGGATGGGAATTTACAGCTGCTTAATCTTCCTGATATTACTTGGACGGGCTGCATTTGTTTTTCCTCTCTCTGCTTTAGCGAATTGTTTGAATAGGCGTGCTCACAGAGAGTCAAGGATCACATTCAGGCACCAGGTTGACATTCATGTTTGATATGATAAGTTACAATCCAAAGATGAAAAAAATTACTTGAAATTTTTGGCATTTTTATGTTGTTATAACTTCCAGATAATCATTTGGTGGGCTGGACTTATGAGGGGGGCAGTCTCCATTGCTCTGGCTTTCAAACAAGTATGTAACAAATCTTCTAGACATTAACCCAAAAAGAAACTTAGTAACTACAATATCGCCAGGAAATGATTTCTGAATCCTTTATATTTCGATTTGTGCAGTTCACATATGCTGGTGTTACATCTGATCCTGTTGATGCAACAATGATCACCAACACCATCATTGTTGTGCTTTTCAGCACGCTGGTGAGTTGGCATATTTCTCTGATTGTGATATCATAAATCCTAGAATAATAACATGGTATGATTAAATTCTTTAGATGCTTTCTTGGCCAAAAAAGATGCTGTCCTCTTCTGCAAGAGCCATCCTCCTCCTTTCTTATTCTTTTTCTTCTTTTTTTTCTTTTTTCTTTTTGCATGCATTTGGAAAACAAACAAACAAACTAAACTAGAAAACAATTAAACCATCCTCCTCCTTTCAATTATCCTTTGTTCTTAACTGTCATGTTCATGGACTGCTTTAACTCAAGCTTCAAATTGTTAATAGCTTTATATTCCTTTAACTATAATCTCTAACATGTCATTACATTAAAGCCGAGTGGACCTGAAGTGTGTGCAAGCACAAGCCTTTTGCTGAGATTTCGTTTAACAATGAAGATAGTGGTAGCAACAATTGAAATGTAGATGTTTTGGTCATGTATGTTTTGACCCAAGCAGAAGGCTAAAACAAGCTGTCTAGTGAAGGCTTGAAAATAATCCTGCACCTTTATTATACAACAATAACAATCAGAAATTTGTTGATCTGATGATAGAATCAACTCATCACAGGTGTTTGGCATTCTCACAAAACCACTTCTCTGTTATCTTCTTCCCCATAGAACGTCAAGGAAGAACATCGCTCATCAGGAATCCGATCCACCTATTGACGACTTGAATCTGCCATCGCTGTCCTTTGAGGTGTCTGCAGCAACCAACATCAGCCGGGCAAAGGTAAGTCTATCAATGTTGATGGAAAATCCTATATACACCCTACATCGTTATTGGAGGAAGTTTGATGATGCCTACATAAGACCCGTATTTGGAGGCCCCCTTGCTTAGTCACCGTGCAAACAAAAAGAAGTACAAACACTAATAATGATCTATCTGAGTTCAGTTTTGAAGTTTGCTTTAGATACATCTAATGAATGAGTGAGGATAAAGTTTACTTTTAAGTGTTTACATGAATTGGGATAACTTCTTTGAAGCTTTAGAGAAGTTCATCTGTTTTGATAATTATTATAGGTAAGTTCACTTTATGCATGTCATTCAAATGTTGGAAGAGTAGACTGTTAATTTATAAGCAAGTGGAATGAATTGTGTATGATATCTTTTATTTCCACTAATGGTTTATTGCTGCTAGGTGCTGCATTTTCACTTCTAAGAATAGAATAAACGGAAAACCGAGTAAATCTCACTTTACTCTCTGGATATGACAATTTGTTTATCAACTACATTCTACAAATCTTGTAGAAAGAAGCTGATTGGTCCAAAAATTCTTGAATCTCATTGGTCACTCTAATTTGATTATTTTTCAATCTCTCCCTCAAATTCAGTTTGCATATATCCCGCTTATTCATTTCTGTCCTTATTCAATGTTAACTATGTCGAATTATCAGGGGTTTTATTTTTAAATTTTAATTTTTTAGTTATCAAGCTTGATTTAAGGTTAATTGTGTTTTGTGATTGGTTCGTTTTATTGAATATTTTCCCATCTTTTTTATGGTTTTACGTGCTATGCCCACTCCCTCCAACTTTCAAATTTGACATTAATGCATTGCAATTTTCACAGGAGCATTTACAAAGGTGTCTTGTGAATCCATGCCAGTATGAGAGCACAGGTTAATGACTAAATTTTTCTTGGCCATCTGTTTTTCATTTTTGATGTTTCACAATTGTATTTCTGATCTCTTTATTCTGAAGTTGCTTCATTTTCCCATGTTCATGCACCTGAAACCTCCATCATCTCCCAACTTTCTCACATCATTTTCTCATCCTATATCGTCTTTCCAGCACCCCCCCAAATTGGACCTCATCTTTGTCAATGATAGCCGTTAGAGCCATTCCAAGAGGTAAAGCCACTCTATTTAATTTCCTTCGGCACTCAGGCTGAATAGTGATGATTCCGGCTCTATGTTTCTTCTTTTTACTTATTTTGGTATTCATGATTGTTTATTACGATTTTATACAATTTTCTATTTTGGCAAATGCTGAGCAAATAAAGTTGTTTTGAAACTGAGTTCGGTGGTGAGCTTTATTTGGCATATCTAAGGAATGTGATATCGAGGATGAAGAAATGAACAATGGTAATATCCAAATCAATGAGTGGAGATGCTAATTAGGCTATGGGAATTGGTGATGGAACTCTTATTGGCTATTTTCTAGCGTAGCATTTGGAGAAGATTTCTAAATCTTGCAGAGGTTTCTGTTTCTAAATCTTGTGAACTGGTATGTATTTTGCTTCATTCATCTTTCTTATTTCATTTAAATCTTTAGTCTTTTTTCATTGTCTCTTTCTTGCTTTTATAAATATGGCCAGAAGGGGGGAACCCAAAGTTCAAGACCTGTCTTTGGAAAAAGTGTTCAACTCGCTTTACTATTTCTTTTAAAAGATTACGTTGCTCAACTGCTAAGCTTTCCATGTTTAATTTAAACAAAATCCCATGGATCCGCCAACTTCATTTGAAAATTATGTTCCAATGTGGAACAAAATACTCACAGCAGGTCCTATATATCTCTCTGTCCTTTTCATGCATCAGGAACATTGTGAGAAGCAACGAACTGTGTGAAATCACTCTTCTTCTTCTTCTTCTTCTTCTTCTTTTTTAACTCAACAATTAAGCAAACAAAGTTCATTTGCAATTTTGCTGGAACATGTGCTGAATGCTATTAATTGCACGGAACATTGTGCTAGAAGTCAGTCTTCCAAACAAAGTTGATAGGTAAGTCTTTTTTGTTTTATCATTTTGGAATTGTTGAGGCAACGTTGATGATTTTTTCTTTCCTCTCTTAGTTGTTACAAATTGCATATTGCATATTGATTTAATCATCTCTACTAATTTTGGGTTATTGGGTTTAATCATCGAAAATCATGAATTTCATATACCTTCGGAATGAGTGGAGAATGGTGATTGATTTGGTAGGAGGATGCGACGGGATCAGCAAAGGCATTTCATTTCGTTTATGGTGGGGGTAGCTTGATAGGTGATCAAAATAACTAAAATAAGAATAACTCTATTAGGAGGATATAGAACAAGAATCTCGTTCTATATTTCTCTTAATAGCCACGCTCAGAAGAATCTCTAAAGGGTTTAAAAGACTATTTTATTGATAAGCTGATATGTTAGCTTCTAAGTTACTAGTCATATTTATAATGCTAAATACAATCTAAAATAATGGATAAAATCTAGATAACTAGATAACTAAATAATATCTCTTATAATCTAAAATAACTAAATAATATCTACTATAATGTAAAATAAAATCTAAATAGATAAACTACTAGATCTAAATAAAATCTAAAGAATAAAATTTGACTAAATAAAATACTAAATCTAAAGAAATATCTAAAAATAAAATACTGAGCAAAATAAACAATGAAATCAATCTGAATTTATCTTTTGAACCTTTCTTCTTGAATAAGTCTTCATGGGAATATTATCTAGAATCTTATCATTACCCTCCCCTTGAAACTCAACTTGTCCTCAAGTTGAAAGGAGGGAAATTGAGTATGCAAGAGATCGTAGTCCTCCCAGTTGGCCTCTTCCACAGGTCGGTCATGCCATTCTACTAATAGTTCAAGTGCTGATGACAAGTCCATCGGTGATCTAAGATTCGGTGAGGCCTTACATGTAACTCAAAATCAGCAGAAAGCGGTAAGGGGGTTGGTGTGAGTGGTGGATCTATCCCTGTAGCCTGGCGCAAAAGAGATACATGGAAGATAGGGTGAATACGGGCCTCTGCCGGAAGTTCCAATTCATAAGCCACTTTGCCAATCCTACGAAGAATCTTGTACGGGCCAAAGAAGCGAGGTGATAATTTTTTAAACTTTCACTTGGTAAGTGATTGTTGGCGAAAAGGCTGTACTTGTAGCCACACAACATCGCCAATATTGTACTCAACTTCCCGCCAATGCTTGTCAGCATAAGCCTTCATTCGATCTTGAACCTTACACAAATCATCCCTCAGAAGCTTGAGCATTGCATCCCTGTCTCTAGTTGTTCTTCTAGTTCAGCCACGGGTGTTTCACCCTTTATATAAGGAAGCAGGGAGGAGGATCTCGCTCGTAAACCAACTTGAATGGAGAATGGTTGGTTGATGTATGATGACTTGTGTTGTACGAGTATTCAGCCCAGCAAAGAAATTTGTGCCAAGACTTGGGTTGCTCATGTGCAAAACACTGCAGATAGGCTTCCAAATTGCGGTTGACTACCTCTATTTGACCATCTGTTTGGGGATGGTAGGCAGTATTCATCTACTTAGGCTGGCTCAATCTAAATAATTCTTGCCAGAAGGAACTCATGAAGATAGGGTCCCTATCAGAGATGATTGAGCAAGGTACCCCATGTAGTCGGATAATTTCCTCACAAAAGATTGTGGCCACCTTCTTAGCAGTGTAAGGGTGCGCGAGAGCAAGAAAATGGGCATACTTACTCAACCGATTCACTACCACCAAGATGACCTCAAAACTGCCAGACTTTGGAAGACCTGTGATAAAATCTAGTGACATGTCCTCCCAAATCTGTGAGGGTATAGGTAAAGGTTGAAGAAGTCCAGCTGGTGCCAACGTTTGGTACTTATTTTGCTGACAAGTGGCACAATGTTGCACATAGGCCTTCACATCTGCTTTCATTGCAGGCCAATAGAAATTCTCTGAAAGGCGTTTAAATGTTTTGAGAAAGCCACCATGTCCCCCAATAGTAGTCGAATGGGCTTTTGCTAGTAATTTTGGTCGCAATTGTGATGAATAAGGAATGACCACTCGGTTGTCATAGAAAAGTTTTTGATTAACCAGGTGAAATTTAGGTCGGGATGACGGATCTTTTTGCAAAGCTTGCATTATTTCATTAGTGAAGGGATCTGATGCCAACTCAAGGGGGAGATTATCCAACTTAGAAGCAAAAGGTACGGCCAATTGAAAAAAATCTGCATGCTGTGGACGTCTTGACAATGCGTCCGCCCTTTTATTTTTTACTCCTGCCTTGTAGATGATAGTAAAATTAAAGGGTAAGAGCTTGATGATCAACCTCTGTTGAGTGTTAGTAGTAATTCATTATTGTAATAGATATTGAAGGCTAGCATGATCCGTTTTGACAAAGAAGTGCCTCCCTAGGAGGTAATGGTGCCATTTTTGAACTGCAAGAACTAAAGCTAGGAGTTCACGATTGTAAGTGGACTTGAAGCGGTTAGAGAAAGAGAACCCTTTACTAAAGTAGGCAATGGGATGGTTGTTTTGCATAAGTATAGCTCCAATCCCTTTTGTAAATGCATCGCATTCAACTGTAAAGTCTTCCTCAAAATTGGGCAACTTTAAGACAGGTGCCCTCACCAGTGCACGTTTAAGATTGTCAAAGGCCTTTTGAGCTAGTTCAGACCATAAGAAGGCATCCTTCTTAGTCAATTCAGTAAGGGGTCGCGCAATAATCCCAAAATTCTTCACAAAACGCCGGTAATATCCTACAAGGCCTAAAAACCCACGTAACTCCTTTACATTGTTAGGAATAGGCCATTCTCGTACTGCCTCCACCTTTTCAGTCTCAACTTCAACTCCCTGGGCAGAAATTTGGTGCCCTAAAAAGGGAACTTTTGGTTTCCCCATAAAGCATTTTTTCAAATTGACACAAAACACACTTTCCTGTAGGTTTGCAAGATGATGCACAAGTGAGCTCGGTGCTGTTGAAAAGAGGGACTATATATTAAAATATCATCAAAGAAGACCGGCACAAATTTTCTCAAATAAGGACGAAATAAGTAGTTCATAGCTGCTTGAAAAGTCGTTGGGGCATTGGTTAAGCCAAAAGGCATAACTGTGAATTCATAATGCCCTGGATGAGTACGAAATGCTGTTTTGTAAATATCCTCGGGTAGCATCCTAATTTAGTGGTATCCAGAACGTAAATCCAATTTGGAAAAATAGATTGTCCCGTGTAATTCATCTAGTAACTCATCAATGTTGGGAATTGGATATTTGTCTGGGATTGTAATGCCATTTAATTTTCGATAGTCAACACAGAATTGCCATAAACCATCTTTCTTTGTGACCAATAAAACTAGACTGGCAAATGGACTTGAGCTAGGCTGAATAAACCTCTTTTTAAGTAACTCCTCAACTTACTTTTCAATCTCGGCCTTTTGATAATATGGATACCTGTGTGGTCGTAATCGGGAGGGTTGGCCCCTGGCAGTAGGGGAATGGCATGTGAGTGATTTCTAAAGGGTGGTAAGTTTGAAGGTTCTTCAAATACAAATGAAAATTCTGCAAATAAAGATTCCGAATTGAAACATTGAAAAGGTGTAGAGTTAGCGGAAGCTTCTATTTGTTGCATTGAATTAAATTGAGCACCACTAGTAGCATTAGGGACTCCCTGTAATTTATACCGCTTGGCATTCAACCAAAAAATCATAAAGAGTTCATTCCAGTTGGCTTGCACCGTATTTAGAGATGCTAGCCACTTAATGCCCAGCACCAGATCGGCTCCTCCCAAGCAAAAAGGGAAAAAATCTTCCTTAATAGTCAGTTCTGTGAGCTTAACTTTCACATCTTTGCATACTCGATTGCATCGTACAATACTGCTATCCCCAATTTGGACTCTAAATGCAGAAATATAATGAGTAGGAAGACGTAGTTCTTGTACTAATGAGTCTGATATAAAATTATGAGTAGACCCACTGTTCACTAATAATAGTACTTCTCTTGTGAGCAACATGCCTTTAAGTTTCATAGCTGACCTTGTGTTGCTACCCAATATAGCATTTAATGAAATTTCTGCCCCTTCTATCCTTATTTCCTCAGGTTCACCGTCTTCAAGAGGAAGGGCAACCTCATCGCCTTCCTCTGTAATCTCCATAAGGGAGAAGGACCCTCGGCAGCGGTGCCCAAGCCGAAAGAGGTCACCACATCGGAAGCACAGTCCCTTGTCTCTCCTGCATTGGTGTTCGAAATCCATGGAGGAGTTTTTTGTCGATGCTACGCTGGCTGATTTGGGTCCTGATGGCGTTGATGTTCTCTACGAAGACGTCGAGAAAGTAACTTTAGAGTATTTCGGGTCATGTGCCCCAAGTGTGCTCGGGTTAGGATAGCGGGTTTGGGTCTGGATCAAACTGGGTCTTGTCCGGGTAAGCTGCGTTTTGCTTTCGATCTCCAGAGCCAGACTTACTGCTCTGTAAACTGATCGTGGTTTATGTATTCTGACATCTGATCATAATTCTTCTTTTAACCCATTCAAAAAAACGCCGAGCAAGCAATGCTCCGGCCAATTCTTGACCCTCGACGATCGTTTGGCGAACTCTGTGCGATATTCTTGAACTGAACCTTCTTGCTTAATGCTGCAAAGAAATTCATCTGGATTTTGGTATTCGAGTGGTCCAAAATTCTCTTGGAATGCTGTCACGAGCTCGTCCCAGTAGTTGAGTGTTCGTTCATGACTGATCCATGCGAACAATTCTAGTGCGTCACCCTCCAATGCCAGTGAGGCTACATCCACCTTCTCTTCTTCAGGTGTGTTGTAATACTTGAAGTACTTTACAGCCTTTAAGATCCATCCCCGTGGATCACCCCCACTAAACTTTGGAAATTCAATTTTGGTGCGATGGAATCTGGTGTGTCTGCGATTTTCTTGCTCGTCTTCGCTCTCTTCATCTTCATAATAGTGCCTGCGATGTGCTTCTCCAGGTTTCTTGTTTTTATTGATTGCTGAGGCTTCGAGTGCTTCTACCTTTTCTTTTAATAAATCAAGAGTTTCGAGTTGCTGCGTGATTTTGGCCAAATGATCGACATAAGTGAACTTGGATTTTCTGGGTCATTGTTGGACGAATTGTCAGAAGAGTTGGTTTCTTGGCCAGCACGTGTGGTAACCATGGCTCTGATGCCAAATTGATAGGTGCTCAAAATAACTAAAATAAGAATAACTCTATTAGGAGGATATAGAACAAGAATCTCATTCTATATTTCTCTTAATAGCCACGCTCAGGAGAATCTCCAAAGGGTTTAAAAGACTATTTTATTGATAAGCTGATATGCTAGCTTCTAAGTTGCTAGTCATATTTATAATGCTAAATACAATCTAAAATAATGGATAAAATCTAGATAACTAGATAACTAAATAATATCTCCTATAGTCTAAAAAAACTAAATAATATCTCCTATAATCTAAAATAACTAAATGATATCTACTATAATCTAAAATAAAATCTAAATAGATAAACTACTAGATCTAAATAAAATCTAAAGAATAAAATTTGACTAAATAAAATACTAAATTTAAAGAAATATCTAAAAATAAAATACTGAGCAAAATAAACAATGAAATCAATTTGAATTTATCTTTTGATGCTTTCTTCTTGAATAAGTCTTCATGGGAATATTATCTGGAATCTTATCATAGCTTGTGGTACAATCTCTCACAATTAATACACTTACAGTTTGTTAAAGAAATGCCTACTTTGAATTATCGCCAAATCATAGGGGTACACTGATAATAATAAGCCTTTACTGAGAAAGACAAGGAGAAAAGTTAGTCTGAAGACAAGGAGAAAAGGCATAATAAGCATAAGAACAGGGACAGAGAGAAGGACAAGGAGCATAAGAAGCACAAGCATTGCCATAAAGACCAAAGCAAAGATAAAGACAAGGAAAAAAGGAAAGAAAAAAGTGGGCATCAAGTTTCCAATGCCAATCATGGCAAGAAACACCATGAAAAGGTTTTTGGAATTTTCTCTGCTGCTTCTTTTTTCTCATTCAGTGTTCCAAAGTATTGGATCATAATAATGTCATCTTGCAATTTGGTTAAATGAAATAGTTGCTTCATTGAATATCTTATGAATTCTTTTTTGTTTTGGTTATACATTAATTATAAGAAAGTTCTTTGATGCTGTAAACCCTCAGTTGCTTGTGAATTAAGATCCATTTCAGGACATTAGTTTGATTTGATGTCAGCATTCGAAAAGGAAATATGAAGATTTGTTTCATACTGTTTCAAAATGATTTGTTTCATACATTTTATATGTTTGCGTAATGCTTCCAGGCTTTGAGGATTCTCTAGCAGTGATGAAAAACAGGATAGGAGATTTGATTTTGAGAACTCAGAGGATGAAAGATGGATAAGAAATGGTTCTCTCGAAAAGAAAGCAATTAATGCGCCTACCAAATTCAAGCTCTTAAGAAAAAGAGTGGCAAGAGAAAAAGTGATGGTGAGATTAGATCGGTTTCTATTGAGGATGTTCGGGATGTTGAGGAACTATAGGCTGTTAATGCCTTCAGATAATCATTGATCGTGGATGAATTGCCCCCAGAAAAACATGAAGGTTACCACATGATGTTAAGGTGAATTTTTTTTAAGACAGCAAAATTTTAATTTTTCTCTCTTTATGTGGACATTCATGTTGAAGAATTTGATTTTTGTTGCAATTTATTTTCTATTAGCAGGTTTAGGATTTATGCCAAAATCTTCCTTTATTATTGCCTACATATATTGAGCTTGGAAATTTTTTCTGGCACATTGCATGTTATTTAAGAGGATATTGTACGTAAGAGTATTTTATAGGGATGTTAAACCTGTACTTCAACCATAGCTCTTTGAACTCAGCTTATGTGCTCCATTTCATTGCTATACATGATATCGTGGCTGAGAAATTGAGACTCAAATAGAAGTCTCATTCATATATCTTAAATTCTTAATATTTAAAAATGTCACAGTAAAAAATTCAATATAGTTCGTTGCGAATTTGTTTATGGTGATGTTGAAATTAATTTGATGATATTGGTTTTCTCACTGTTTTTTCTCCTTAATTTTTACACTGTATAGGTACTTAAAAAGCAAGGAAATATGATATTGAAAAGGCAAAGCGCATGTGGGCTGATGTCCTCATATGGATGAAAGATTTTGGTGGTGACACCATTATGGAGGCAATATAGATATTACATGCAAAATATTTACTTGACTTCCGCCTCTAAAAATTTAGGGGATAAGACTTGAACTTTGAGTACTTGATATTTTCTACACCCTTCATGCTTAATTTTTTGTTTTAATTAGGATTTTGAGTACAAGGAGTTAAATGAGGTTCTGGAGTATTACCCTCACTGTCATCATGGTGTTGTTAAGGTGGGAAGACCAGTTTATATTGAAAGACTTGGAAAGGTTGATCCAAACAAATAAACTTATACAAGTTACAACTTTGGATAGATATGTAAAGTACCATGTCCAAGAGTTTGAGAAAATCTTTGCAATTAAGTTTCCTGCATGCCTACACCATTGCTGCCAAGAGGCACATAGATTCAAGCACCACAATCTTAGATGTCCATGGCGTCATTACTTTCTAATAATTGTTCCCTGCTAAAGTTGCTGTCAAATTATTTCTTATGACATCTATTATTAGGGTTTGGAGAACTTTACAAAGTCTGCTCGGGAACTCATAATGGGACTACAAAAGATTGATGGAGATAATTACCCTGAGGTAAGCAATCCCACTTTAATTTCTTGCTGTACATTTTTGGATTTTTTTTAATTGGAGATTGATACTAGCTTTTTTGGAAAATTTGGTTGATGAACATCTGGTATGGTCTAACTGATGAATAATTTGTCTTTGATTTATGATGTAGACTCTTTGCCAAATGTTTATCATAAACTCTGGCCTGGATTCAAGCTACTGTGGAACACTGGCAAAACTTTTATTGATTCCAAAACAACTTCTAAAATTTATGCATGCAAAAATGCAGCCTTCTAGCAGGTTGAAATATTTTTCTTTAATATGTGTTTGATTGCTAACATTTCTCTCTCTCTATTTAATATAATGCCTATTTGGAAATTGCATTGGTTCTTGGAAACAAAGTACCAGAGCACGTTGCTTGCTATAGCTGATTCCAGTTTTTTTTTCATGTTTCGGCATGTTAGAAATCTCTCAGTGTTTTTAATATTTTATTCACCAATACCTTCTTGCTTTTCTAGCATCTTCAGAATATTCAGTTTATTCTACCGTGCCTAATGATTGTGTACATTTAATGAAGCAAGATGCCTGATTTTCTTGGAGGCACCTGCAATTGTGCAGATCTGGGAAGTTGCCTTAGATCCGACAAAGGGCCTTGGAAGAACCCTAAAATATTGAAGGAAATATGCTTTTATAGAATACATTGTTGATTCATTACCGTTGATTGTTTTGGTAGTTTTTATACAACGTCAGTTGGACTTTACTTATGAGGCATTCAAAATGATTTGTCTCCACGTACTCAGTTGTTTTCATGCTTGTGCCCCATGAGGTATGGAGAAAGACGGGGTCCATTACCATTTTGCTGAACGAAGTGCCATGGAGAAAGATATCAAAGATGGCAAGTTTCTTGAATTTGCTTCTGTTCATGGCAATCTCTAAGGGGCATTGAGGATGTTGAACTCAATGAAGTTGATTTTTGTTCTTTGATGATTGGTTTCTCAATGTTTGTGGATGCCCAGGCTCCAAAAATTGGGGAGTCATTTTCAACTAAATCAAAATTTTGATATTATCGTCTCCTCACATGAACAATCATCTTGAACTCTGGAAATAAGCAGGAATTAGAAATTGAAGCTTCTATTTTAGTGAGCTGAACAAATAGACATAACAAAAAACAAAATTCATATTAAAAATAACATACATGATACGACTACTTAGAAGATAAATCTTTTTCTTTTTGTTAGAATGAAATAATTCATACATTAAAATAATTGCTGTGCACTATTACCTCTCTATCCACAAGAATATAGTTGAGGGAACATATTTGACTGGGGTTTGATTCATGCATGATTTCGTAAAAGTTAAATAATAGACATTGCTACTCTAACTTCAGTGCATGATTCATTGAGAAAAACAATGGATGCGTCCATTTGATTCCAACACCGACAGGGAGAATGGCTAATGTGTTTTCTCAAAAAATGGCTCCCTAAACAAGAGATTTCAGAATGGACGTAATAAGTGAAACGCATAGTGTTTAATCCTGTCAACTTGCTTAGTTTCCAAGTATCGGTTTCTCAACTGGAATATGAGTGTGATTAATGCATACCTATGTGTATGGACAGCGTACAAAAATTAACATCATAATCTGACTATTTTAGCTCTCTGATACGATAATCTAGATAAAGGGAAAAAATATCTTTTCAGAGGTGAGTAAATAAATATTTCTTTCCTATAATGATATGGTGAGGTTACATTTTCCTGAATTTATTTCCTACGTCTTAAAGAAAAACATTATTTCATTAAGATCATGTATATTAAATAGAAAATTGTTTAAAAAGTTAATTATGGACACATTTCAAATAACAAAAATTAAATAATTACATCTAAATATTAGAATTGTAAGAAAAATTTAGAGGAAGTATTATTGAAAAAATTATGTTGAAAATATATAAATAAATATTATCCTAAAAGCTAGATATTGAAAAATAATAATAGAAGTTTTGGACAATTTCTTAAATAAAATTATGGAAACAAAAGAAATAAGCAACTTGACAATCAAAAATCATTTAAACATTAAAGTGAAAGTACTGACACTTTTATAAATGTGCCCCAAATTCTAATTGTAGGTGCTTTAGATTCTTCAGACAATTGTATCATGTAAAATTCGTGCAACACACGAGAGCCAATCTAGTTTTCCCAATATCTATACTCTGCCTCATGTTAACCCAATTTTGTGAATTGACTAATACCCTTTTCTTGTAATTTACTATTCTCATCTGTGTGCTCATTGAACCTCTATTTGTTGGTGGATTAAAGTTTTTGTGGAATATAAATTTCACAAACACGAGACACTATACATGACGTCTTGCTTACAAATGATTAATGGAAATTTATTTATTTCGGAGAAGGGCAAATTATTCAGTCCTTAGTAAACTTTTTCCAATGGTGGTGAAACATTTAAGGGCGCGCTGATTTAAGACAATGCTTATAATGAAAATGAGCTAAAAACACTTTCAATTCCCTGCAATAAGAAAAAAGCAAGAGTCATTACTTGTGAATAACATTATTTTAAATGTAAAAATTTAAAATGTTTTAACAGACTGTCTTGATTTCATGTTGAGATATGTTTGATTTCATCTAAAATATTAGGAGGGGCAGTAAATAACATTACTTTCAATGTTAACATTTATAACATATCTATCAAAAACTAAACTTTTTCTCTTATATATGTGATCAATATACATGGTAAAACAGAGCAGTTTTTTTTTTTTTTTGCCAACGAAAAACAATATATGAAAACCGTAGTTATGGATATAAATTATAATATCTCCTCAAATCCTCTTTCTAATCATATTAATATTTATCTTCTACATATAATCCTGTCAGCCTACAATCCAGAAAAAAAAAAGTTAAAATAAATCATATTAAATTTGATCATATTTTTTTTTTTAAATGATGAACCAACATAACTCATTCAAATCAATGAGTGGTTTGTTAAAAGAAAGAAAGAAAAAAAGAAAGAGTAATATAATTATACGGATTTATATCATTTAGAGTTGTAATTGGTGAACTTTTGTAAAAATTTTCTTTTTAAGAAAGAGAGAGAAAATTTTATACTCCCTCCATTTAAAAATATAAGGCATTTTAATTGAATCTCACTCCTCAATAAAATAATTATTTACTTTCAAATTAATCATATCTTTTTTATTTACTCCTATTAAACACTTTATAATAAATATAACGCCATTCATCAATAAGACACTTTTAGAAAAAAGACAATGATTACATCTCGAAAGATTAAAAATGCATTATATTTTTTAACATCAAACTTCTCAAAAAATGCTTTATATTTTTTAATAAAAAAATTATTTCATAAAAAAATAATAAAATGAGTGAAAAATAATAAAAAAAAAAGTTTCACCAAAATCATTAATGCCAATTTCAAAGGATTTAAATTCATAATTATACAATTAACCAAAAAACAAACTACATCTCATCTAAATCAAAGTAAATTTGACGCAAGAAAAACGTTAAATGTAGTAAATTGAATTAAATATATCCTACAATTTCTTACGTAATTGGTCATCTCAACTCTTTAAATCATTCTATATCATCAATCTGAACAGGAAAATGATTTTTCCCCAGATTCATTGTTTCTTTTCTTGTCTTTCTTTTAGTCTTTCTGTTTTTTTTTTTTTAAATTTTTATAACTCAGATTCGTATAATTAAAGGATTTTTTTGCTAAAATATAATTAAGAGATTGATTATATTTCACCTAATAACTTTTGATTACAAAAAAAAAAAAAAGGATTGATTATATTACCTTTACATTGTGAAGGAGGGGAGAGACCACACTTGTCAATCCCAAGTGCAGGAAGCACAGACTTGCACTTGCAGATGCATGCCAGATCAGTATGCCGGACAACCGCACAGCACGTCTCTGTCGGAGGAAGCGGGTGCTGGCCTCAGCTTCGTCGTGTCTGTGTTGCATAACACAACCCCTTCGGCTCCTCCACCCAGTAATCCTATCACCACAAATACAGCTACTCTCACAACGCACTGCACTACGGATCTGAGCTTGATCGCCGTGTTCTCGTTATGATGTTGAGGTTGAAGATGGATCTGGTTATATATATATATATATATATATATATATTGTGTATGTGGAAATAATTTGAGACTTTAATTTTGACATTTCAAGATGATAATTTGGCGATCTGGATCCTCTTAAACTCCCACTTCCTCAGCATCCCTCAACCATAGGAAATCTACACCCTTCAATCTATTCCAATGTCTTATATCTTACCACAACATCCCATATTAAAATAATTTAATTTTAAAAATAATTTTTTACACCTTAATTCACTGTTTTATATATGTATATATATTAGGATAATGATTCAAACGGTTTTCTTTTTTGTTTTTAAACTTTATCCTAAAAAATTACTCTGCAAATTTTTTAAAATAGGTCTTTGTTAAATAAATTAGGTTAGAGTTTGAATAAATTAGATTATAAAATCCTTGCAATCTAACTTATATTTATATATAACCCAAAAAAAATATTTATATATAAATATAAGTTAGATTGTAGGGACTTACAGTTTGATTTATTTAAATTTCAACTTGATTTATTTAACAAAAATCTATTTAAAAACATCTACAGAGTAATTTTTTAAGACAAGTTTTGAAAACAGAAAATAAAAAAATCAATTTGAATTGTTATCCTAATATATATACATAATAGTGAAGTGAAGTATAAATTTTTTTTTAATTAAATTATTTTAATATGAGATGACATGGCAAGACTTGAGGCATTGGATGTAGATTGAAGGGTGTAGATTTCCTGCTGTTGAGGGACGCCCAGGGAGAAGGAATTTGAGAGGATCCGGTTCTGATATTTTGGAGCAATGAACTATCTTGGTCTTCAATCAATCAGTCATGTGACCAAACCCAATCCTACTACTTTGAGCTTTTAAGCTGCCCAAATATTTAAATTATTAAATATTATTTTTATTTTATATTTTAGCTAATTTTGATTTGTATCTTAAAAATATTAAAATTTTCAATTTTTATTTTATTTTAATGTTATTTTATTGATAATAAAAAAAATTTAAATATTTGGCCTTGAGCTAAATTTTTTCAAACTTATTTAGACATCTCAAATAAGAACAATGATGTGTTGTTTTTAAAAACGATAGAACGACATTGCATTATTAAATATTTATAAATTTCAATCATGCGTAGCTGAATATTTTTAAGATAAATTTGTCCTTTAGCCTTTTCTACGTGTGTGACAAGTTAACACTTTAATAATACAAATTTATCAAACTCAGAATTATTTGGACTACTGTATTATAAACAACCAAACACTACACCCAGCTTTATCCCTTATTTTGTTGATTTAATTTGTTCATATGCTAACAGCGGGTCTGGGCTATGAAGTTATGATTTCTATGCATGACATTCTTTTTTTTTATTTTTTGGAGAAAAATTCACTACAAACCCCTAGACCAAGGATAAGAAAAAAGTAAATTCCTGAATTTTACTGAATCGAAATTAAAATTTTTTTAAAAATGATAAGATTGTCCCTATTAAAATTTTCTAGCATGACTTGTTCGTGTCCCTGCTATATATTGTTCATTAACCTTTAGATTATTATTCATTTCCCTACTTCACTTATTCATTATAGTACTCTCACTTAAATTAATTCAAGTGTTGCTTTTATGTTAGTACTACTTGTTTGTGTTCCTATTGAATGTGGTTAATTATACTTCAGACTATTATTCATTACCTTACTTTACTTATTCATTACAACACTTTTACTTGAATTAATTGCAAGTATTGCTTTCATGTTAGCACAACTTACTCGTGTCCCTATTGTATGTTGTTCAGGACCCTTCAGACCATTATTCATTGCCCTATTTCACTTGTTTATAGCCTTACATATTTATAATTTGTTTTTTCTTGTTAAATTTCTTTTCTCTTTCAATACGGACACTTTTTTCATTTCCTAAAAAATTTTAATTTTAATTTAATACCTTAAATTTGTAGTAAAATTTTAGAAATTCATAAGTTCTTTTTTT